TTTGAGCAAGAAACATTTACTTTATTTTATATGCATGCGCCACCCCGCGTGCATGAGCGCCCGACAAAAACCAGTCGGCCTGAAAAAGGCCGCATTTTGCATGTATTCTGCCCCNTCGATAATAGATTGTACTTCCTCTGTATCATAAGTTAGGGTACCTAAATTTGTACGGGCCCTTAACCGTGTCCGATCTGTTTTTCGATATTTTTGTTGAAATCTTCGGAGTTTTTTGAGCAAGAAACATTTACTTTATTTTATATGCATGCGCCACCCCGCGTGCATGAGCGCCCGACAAAAACCAGTCGGCCTGAAAAAGGCCGCATTTTGCATGTATTCTGCCCCCTCCGACCAGGCGGGGGGGGCGGGGCAATGACAAAAAATACAAGGTCTTGCATACCAAGAATTATCCCTGACCCTAAACTTAGCCCCCCCTCTACTCAACGATCCATGACGCGTCCCCCATACTAAAAACAGCATAATAGTGGCCCCCACACTGAAAACAAGACACTTGGGGGGACCACACTAAAACCAAGACACTTACGGGGCAAAGCAAGCAACAGTAGGGCCCTCATCCAACCCCCCCCTCTACTCAACGATCCATGTCGCGCCCCCTATACTAAAATCAGTATAGTAGTGAACCACACTAAAACCAAGACACTTGGGGGTCACACACTAAAACCAAGACACTTGGGGGGCACACACTAAAATCAAGACACTTGCGGGACAAAAAGAAGGGTTGGTTGGTGGCGGGGAAAAAAAAGAAAAAGTCGACTATTCTTCCTCATCATCACTTGGACTCGATGCCGCCGCAATCTTTGAAGGGGTGAGAAGCGACGGCCGCCCACTTTGCTTCGTTTGAAAGGTCCAGCTCCTGGGTGTTGTCGATCTGGGTTTTGACCCGTTTCCACAACTTGGACGGGTACTTCTTTCCAACACCGTAGCGTTCGCAGATCGGGTCAAGCACGCCCTTGGGAATCCTTGACAACCCCGGCTGAATGCCCATCGCAATTTCTACCGCCATGGCATAGCGCCTACCAACCGATAATTCGGTGCCCCTTTTGCGAGGTGGTGTGCTGGGGGGCGATTCCATCGCTAGAGTAGGGTAGTAAAATGGATTTGAGAATTTTGTCGAGAATTCTCAAAAAATATCCCAAAATATTTTCTCAAAAATATTCCCAAAACAGGCAAAATAGGGTACATTTTGACCAATAGTAGGTGGTACAGAAATAGATGTTCGTTTTTTTTTTCTTTTTTTCTATCGCTTCGTCTTTGTTATATCTTTCTTACAAACCCGACTATGCTACCATCACTAACACGGTTGCACCCAGACAATCTATTGCATTTAGGTACCCTAACTTATGATACAGAGGAAGTATTGATATCGCCCTATCATCAAGAATGTATGTGTGTGTTCGCAAAACAGTAAGACAAAGAAAAGATGGTACGGAGTCAATCCGAATCCGGGACTCTCCCTATTGAAAATGGAAGGCAGGCATTAGAAAACAGCAAAATAAATATAACACGGGTCTTGAATACGGAGTGTAACACTACATAAATTAGTTTTTTATTTTCTTAATATCACACAACAAATCCATCTCTATCTATAGATTTTTTTTTAGTTTTTTTATGATTTGATCTTGGACTTATATTTTTCTCTTTTAACGTGCGCGAGTCCAACAAAACAAAACAACAACCTATTCTAATTTTAATTTATTTGCATCTAACACAAACAAACGACGAAGGACTTGAACTTTCAAGGGTCTGTACGACAGACAGACAGTAAATATTCAAGAGCGGATTGCCCTGTTGTTGCAACATGGCGGCCGTCACATGGTCAAACCGGTGCGGCGGGGCCAGAGACAAACGCGCGTGTTTGATGATGAGAATGCTAGGACGACTCGAGATTTCGGGAGAATGGAGTTACGAGGCAAAACACATCCCGGGCGTAAAAAACACGCTCGCGGACGGGATTTCTCGATGGCCAAGGTCGGAACTAGCCGATAGGGTCCAAAGATTCACCAACACAAACGATTGGCGCGAAATACCACTCGGTTCACGCGGAGAAAAAGTGTGTTCCTTCGTGCTGCAGAAAAAGAACCTACAACCCCGTCACGATCGAACGTTATGGAATCTCATGATGACACCTCACTAAAATTCATCGACAAAACACCCCCGTGACCTCCAACGTTATCCTCGAACCCTCCGCTTACGGACGCTTCAGGAACAGGGCGGGAAGGAGAGGGGATGAGCACGGAAGTCGCGCGGTTGGTGGATACTTTAGTGAGCGCGTCGATCGGGGGAAGCACGCATAAGGTGTACGCCGCGAAGTGGAAGACATGGTTGGATTTTATGAAACACAAGGGTAAAGAACCGTGGTTGAACTCGATGGACGAGTCCGAGATCGTCGCGCTCCTCCTCGAATTTATGACGTGTCGCTTGTTTTCGTTCAACAACCAGCAGTCCACAGTTCGGGGATACCTCGCAGCGATCAAGTTTTACCATAAGCTATGTACGGGGTGGGAGCCTCCCACGTCGCACTGTATGATTACGGCGGCAGGGAAAGGGATTGATCGCATTCGAGGGATGACGGGCAAGCAAGCGCAAGTGAGGCTGCCCCTCACGTGGTCGATGTTGTCCCAAGGCTACCATACCGTCGCGAGCGCTCCGGATGGAGGAAAAGTTTTCTGGTTAGGACTGACGCTGTCGTATTTTCTCTTGTGCCGAGCTTCGGAATTGTTCGCGTACGCGAACGGCCTCGTCCATCCAGATTTCTGTTTGACGCGTGACTGCTTGAGGTTTTTTCAAGGAGACATTCAAGTGGAGACTGAAGATAGAGCGCGCGCGGATTCAGTCAGGATTCATTTCGTGGCGTCAAAAGCAGATCAGAATCGAGAGGGATGCACGATCACGCGCACCCGCAGCCCGAGATCGGAGGAACCTGGTAGGGCGCCTTTCGGAGCCTTCGAAGCGATCGTGGAGCTCCTGAACGTCCACCGGAGCCTTCCCGGACGTGCCCCTTTGATGACGAGGATGGGTGCAAATGGGTGGAAGGTGGTTACTCGCGCGGAAGCTGTAGTCGCGCTGAGGAGGATGGTTGCTTGTGCAGGGAAGGATCCGGCACAGTACGCGTTGCACTCGGGTCGCATTGGTGGCGCCACGCAATTAGCCGCGCAAGGCGTGTCGGACTTGCAGATTCAGCGGGCTGGGCGTTGGAAGTCGCGAGCGTTCATGGTGTACGTAAGGGAAGCGGGAGAAGGAGCAGAAACGGTTTCCGTGGGACTTACAGGAGGAAGATGAGAGTAAAACAGTACACTCAGCCTGCACAATGGCGTGGTTTTCAGATAGCTTGGAAGAGGCTATTCTCGTACCGGATTGGCTGAGTCGTGAATTCGAGTATCGTATAGGGACATCGTAGGGGCAGGACCCACAAGAGTGGAGGTACGGTTCGTCTACATGTGATCTATAT